GGAGAATTGCATCAGTGTGAATAGATGTATAGAACTAACCTAAAAGTGATTGGTAGTCATATTTTAGAATACAGTAATTTCAAGAATTATTCTGGGTGTTTTAAATGTGCTCTGAAATGTTGGCATGTCATTTCAGTGTTTCCATTTGAATTGCTCTTGTAATATTTTTGCACAGAAAGGACTGAGAAAGACTACTTTGGTTGAAGAAAAGGAAAAAAAATAATAATTTGGTCATATTTTAATGTCTCCTGTGGAAACACTGGGGATGAATTTTGTTGGTACAGTTATTAATTCAGGATGTTTGAAACAGTATTGAACAGCTCACAAGAAATTAAGCAAACGTGGATATTAAAAATTAAAACTTTCTTTCCATGTGACTGTTTTGCATACTTTTTCCCCATGTCATAATTTAACACTACATTCCTTGTTTTTGTTAAATAAAATAATACTTTGCAGGTTCTGTTTTTGAGTATTTAACAGTATTTTGTAAGCTGCCTGAGTTTTCCTAGGGAAACGTTCTTTAGTGAAATAGTTTATGAAGAGGTATTAAGTGAAAGTCCATCACCACCACCAGCAAATACTGAGGTGCTGCATTAAGTGACAATCAAAATAGTATTTATGGGAGAATTTAGAAAGTGGTTTTTAAAGAAGCAATTGCTTTGAAAGCAGTTCTCTGGGTTTCTTGAATAAAAATGGCTAAATGTATTTATTTATATTTTTAAATATCTTTGTGTTCTGTTTTCTCATCAGAGTGATTTCACAGTGTATTTAATTGTGGTTTGTTTTGTTTTGCCTTGTAATCTTCTGTGGGGAGGACTGGCTCTTCCTATCTGGGGTGCAGTCCTTAGCCCTCGCGACGCCTCTTCTTGGTGATTGGAACCTGTTCCACTTCAGGACAGCAGTGGAGTCCCAGTCCAGATGCCCCTGTGCTTCCCTGCTGTTCTCAACTTAGATAGGAAACAGTAAAGGTAACTCCTTTCAAATCTGCTTCATATAGCTCCAACTTTTTTCTAGTTTCACTTGCTGCCTTTTCTATTTTATGGGCACTTTTAATATGATAACTTCCCCAACACAGCCAAACGCCAGTATGACAGAACCCAAAACACACGCTGCCTGTTTGGGAAAATGTTATTAAAACAGTCAGCATCATCTAATGGCCGTCACTATCATATCCATATTAAAATCCACCTAAAGTCCTTAAATATAGGTGGAATACTGCAAACTCTTCTACAAAAAATATTTGCTGTGTTTATATAGTGTAATGTTGCTTGGTCCTTTAAAAACAAAGCCACACCAAACCTCCATACACAGCAGTGTCCAATAAAGCAGCGTTTGAACATTTGAGGCCTAGAAATTTGAGGATACTTCTTGCTGGTCTGTATTGGAACAGAATTCCCCACCTTAGGGCTCCCAGAGTAGTTCTTGAGTCCCACAGCCCAGGTCCAGAGCACACTCTAGCTCTTGGGATCCCTTAGAGAATGGTAATTAAAGGAGGTCAACCACCAATTGGATTTAATGATATAAAAAATCTTTCTTGACTCTAAGGGTTAAATTGGAGATACGATGTTTTTAAATGTATGCTTTTTAGTTTCTGAGGAAACAAAACAGTGACGTTGCTTTAAAAACGACATTCAGATGTTTTATGATGTGTATTTTGAGTTGGCCTATACTGGTACAGATTCACTGCTGGCAATGGTTGTACCAATACTAAAGAGGTAAAACGTTAGGAAAGCTCTGTTATCTTCAGATTGATGTATTATGTAACCGGACAATCACCATCAAGCAAGAAGAAAAGGAATTTGGCCAGGAAATGTCCTTTTCCTTTATAGAGGTCAGCCAGAACAGCTGTAATTTAGATCATCCTAGAATTACTCTGAAATCTGTTTTATCATGGTGTAAGTTGGGGAAGGTGCTCAGTATGGCACTTGCACATTCATTTTATGTAAAGACTGAAGCCCAAAGACGAGTTAAATTCAGTGCTGTATTGAAACCAGTTAGTGCAAAAAAAAAAAAAGTTTTATCTCTGTAAATTTTTAATTGTTAATTTAACATCAGTTGGTAATTGTAAAAACACACACCAAATTCTTTCTAATGTTCTGTGTGGTTCTTAGTATACTACTCTTGCCATTGATGTGTCCTTACTGCTTGGTTCTTGGTTTTACATTAAAATTAGATATAGCCTGTCATTCTTCCTTCTGAAAGGGTGGAGCTATAAATGGCTAAGAATACCTTTTTTTTCTTTTTCCTAAAGCAAACATTTCATTGAAATCCAGATTGATTTACAAAAACAAGACTGACATTTTCCAAGTAATATCTTCAGCCCAAATCCTAAATTACACAGAAGCACAATGGGATAATGAGTGGTTCCAACGGTGCTATAATAGGTTCTCTGCTGATTTTCATGAGCTATGTTTGGAAATTCAATATTATATAAAATGCGGATCATTTTGTTACTTATTTAATATTGCCATTTTAATTTGGTGTTTCAATTGGTCACACTTGTTTCTCAAAGCTGTCCTTTGAGAACAGGTAAAGTGTTATTAGCCTACCTCCACTCAGGCCTCTTGCTGTATAATCATTTTTCCAGGTTATGATGTGCACAGTTTTTAAAACCTATATGTACTATTATAATGCTCTTTCCCATACTCTTGTATTCAGAACCTAAAATTATAGCAAAAGAGCCAAGCAGTAGCATTTTTTTTTTTATAAATGTAAAATTAATTAGATTCAGACTTTGTTTCCTTATTCAGTTTTAAAAATAAAAAATACCTCAGTGCTGTTTTCCAGTATCACCTGCATTTCTCAAAGAAATAACACCTGCTTTATGTGGCACATAACTTGTAAGAATCACATTATTTTGGATTTTAAAGAATATTAAATATTTTAAAAGCACTACCAATGACATTTTTTCCTCTCTTTTATTCAGCAATGGAGTGTAACTGCATTAGCAATTTTTGCCTTGGAGCTAAGGTCTGAGCTGCCAAATTCTCTGAGTAGTTGTGTCCTGTTACAAGGTTGTGGTGCCTCAGAAAGCTTCGCTGTTATTCGCCGTTAAGCTGGTGCCGGGACCAGGCGGCCTGCACTTCCAGGTGTGGGCTATGATGGTACCAGCTACTGTCTAACAAGGAATTATCCTTCCTATTCTTGGAAAAGAAATAATGCAATTCCTCACTTATTCTGTTTGTAATAATCTAAGGCAGTATTAGGGGTATTTAACTCCAGAGAATTCTGGTGTAGTTTCAGGATTTAACCTGAGATTTCTTTGAAGTGCTTTATCTTAACTCATGGACATTGTGATTTCTTTACCCTGTAACACACACTTTTCATGGTAGAGAACTCCTTAAAAGTTTCTAAAAATGACTTTTTCAGAAATATGTGAACTGCTGCTTTTTAACTGACACTTTTAGATCTCCTCACAGTAATGGTTACTACTGCAGAATGATTGCTGTATTGAGAATGCTGGGTGATTAACGAGATTATGTCACAATCTGTTCAAGTTACAAATGACTGTACATTGTGAACTTTGTAGTAGCTCAGTAAACCTGACTTGCTCTGGGTCTGCTATTACTTCACACAAGGAACATGTGGGAGTTTCTATAGAACTGTCCCTTCAGGTCTCTAGAGGCTTCTGATGGCAGTGTTATTGCATATGGTAATAGAACCTATGAGGCTGGGAGAAAACAGTTATGCTGCTTGGATGGAACAGTTAGTACTCAAGTTAGAAGAGACTTACTTAAATGACAGTGATTACTGAAGTTGCTATGACAACATGAGGTGCCCTTCACCATAATATCAGTGATTATGGTCTCTAGAAGTAAACTGTCTGGCTTGACTCCTTGCTCTACCATGTAACCCTGGATGAGTTAACCCTTTTTTTTTTTTTTCAACTTTTTATTAGTAGCTACTCCCTCACAGAACTGTGTGAAGGTTAAGACAGACAGTGCTTTAGAACAATGCTTGGCTACTGTTTTTTATATCAGCTTTAGAAACTGGTCTATAAATGTTAATGATTTGATAAATTAGAAAGTTATAAACTTGCATAACACACAAGGAAAAACAGGCACTGGTCATTTCACTTTTTTATTTATGTTGTATCTTTGTTACATTGTTTATTCAATATAGAAAAAATATGAATACACTCACAGTATTCTCTTTTAATTTGGTAATTCCACATGGTCAAATATTGACTGACTGTTATTATATTGGGTTTCCTACCCAATTGAAAAAAAGAGGAAGAATGGACCTGGCAGACAATTCTTGTCATGTTATTAACAGTACTACATTTCCCTTGCTCTTAAAAAAAACGTACAAACAAAAACCCTATTTTTTTTTTTTTTTTGCGATATGCAGGCCTCTCACTGTTGTGGCCTCTCCCATTGTGGAGCACAGGCTCCGGACGCGCAGGCTCAGCGGCCATGGCTCACGGGCCCAGCCGCTCCGCGGCATGTGGGATCTTCCCGGACCGGGGCACGAACCCGTGTCCCCTGCATCGGCAGGCGGACTCTCAACCACTGTGCCACCAGGGAAGCCCCAAAAACCTAATTTTGAAGACTTCTGATTATTCTGATAAACCACTGCTTACTGGCTCAGAAAAATGTTTTAAAAGATAGATAGATAGATAGATGATTGATAGAAATTAATTCATTCTTTCCCCCAGGAAAAATTTTAAGGTAAACAGACGTCGTAAAACACCTCAGTTACTCAGGACAAAACTCATATTCCTTGCAAAGGGGTCAGTGCTGAAAGAGAATCAAGTGGCAGGCCCCCTGCCGAACAATGGCTCTCTATATAGTAAGTACCCTCACCTTGCCCCGGCCAAGGAAAGGAGACCATATATTCACATAATTAAGCTGGAGAAAAGAAAAAATCCACACTTAGATATCAGTTTTTTTTTTTTTTTTAAAAATCCATTTTGCAAATACAATCAGTGATTATTTCTCTTGGACATAATACTTCATTAAATGGGTCAAACTCACAAATCAATGCTACAAAATACAGTATTTTCCATCACTTTTAGTTATAATATACACTATGTACATAGTTCACCTATCTTAGACTAAATATAAACGAACAGTATCATGTTAAAAACCAGAATCCGGACTTATAAATAGTGCAGAAAATGCAAATGCCAAAAATACGATGCCTCCTATGATTGTCACTGTAAGAGAACAGAAAAAAGTTTAAGGCAAAATTCCTCTAAATAAGCCCTGATGTTGCCTATTATTCTTCTAATCTAGTAAACTAACATTAAAAACAAATTAGGAATACTTGAACAAGTTAGAAACACTTCAACCTCATTTCCACAGCAAAATACTTAACATGCCCGACTGTGAACAGTTAATCAGTTTATTTTCCAGCACTCTTTTACTAACAGAATTATTAAATTGAAACAGTGCTGACAAGCAACAATAGAACTATAACTCATCTTAAAACCCAATTATATAAAAGAGAATTTTCAACAACTTCTGACTACCAAAGAGACTATTTTTATTCCATCTTTAAGAACCATCAGCTACGTAGGAAATTTTCAGCTGAATCAGTAAATATGGTCTCCATCTATGACTGCCAATCCCGAAGACACATTTTCAAAGCTTAAAAGTTCTCGTGTTTCCACAGGGTTGTTTCACTGACTTAAATATGTTGACAAAAAGCTACTATGAATCCAGTAATGCTTTTAGATGGTTCTGTATTTTACTAACACCTCCAAGTGAAAAACAGTCCATGTTTGCCACAGCAGAGCCAGTACGTTGGACCTCTAAGAAATTATCGTAGCAAAGACCAAGTCTGCTTCAGAAGAAACACACTCTCTTTTCTAACCTCAGTGATTCTAAAAGTTAAAATAAATGGAATTTTCTTTCTAATTAAAAAAAAAAAAAAAAAAAAAAAAAATACCAGTTCTGACAGAGATTTTTTGTGCTATCATTCTTCCTCCAATTACTGCCAGTCCAGTGCAGAGGCAGTGTCCCACTGTTCCACCCACTGCTACGCCACAGGGGTCCTGGAAACATACCATTAATTTAAAACCAAGGTTGAAACTGCTACCTGAGAAAGATAACTATCAAGCAATGAAAATAGAGGTCAGTAACAACAACAACAAAAGCATAAAACAATTCTATGAATTCAGCTGTATAATTTATGAAAAGTGTTATGGCTGCTTGAAGGAATATGTTCCATTTGTACCTAGGACTAGAGATAAAAGGAGAATAAACTCAAATCAATGTGTAAGATCAAAGTAACCTAATTCAACCTTCCAGCAGTTGTTGAACTTACTTCACAGGCACTATTTAGCTCTTAAGTGACAAGTGCTAAGGACACCTACCCTAGACACCTCTTCCCTCAGGCAGTATTTGATACTGTCTAGAAACTACGTAAGAGCGCAGTCTGACTGTACTTCCTAAGAACAGAGACCCTGCCTCTCAGTCTCCACTGTGTCCCAGTGCTTTAGCTCAGTGTCAGGACACAATATTCGTTTAGTAAACACCTGCCACCAAAGCAAACTGGAGGCACTCAGGTTGGGAAGACCAGTGAAAGTTTTCCAGAAAAGACAGCCCTGAAGCACAAGCGGGAGCACCTAACCTGGCAGCAGGCCAGCCGCGGAGCGCTTGAGTGCTTCTAGAGAGAACCAGCGAGTCACAAGAGGAGGAGTCCCATCAAGGTAGGAGGGGGCTGGGTCATGAAGGACCCGTACAAGCTTAGAGTTTAGACTTTTTAAGACACTGGTTTTCATCTGGGGAGTGACAGACAGGTTATGCTTTAAAAGTCGAGTCTAGAGAGTGAACTGGAGGGGAAGAAGACTGAAGGCAAAGTGATCAATCGAGAGGCTACAGCAATAGCCCTGGGAAGAGACAATGCTGGCCTGGATTGGCGTGGGAGACTAGGCAGAGAAAAGCAGATGGATTCGAGAGAAACGGGAGGCACTACTGATATACCTTAGTGATAAGTGAATGACAGGAGTGAAAAAAATCAGGCCTGACACTTGAGTTCCTCACCCATAATTCTCTAGATGAATTATGGCAAAATACCAATGTGATTAAAAGGGTAGAGGAAGCAAGGGAGAAAGGGTCTGTGGCTGCCAACGGGAGTTAAAAGTAGAGAAGTTCAAGAACCAGCTGAGTTCAATGGAGAAGAAGTGATGGGACTGCATATAATAACCCCAGGAGAGAACGTAGGAAAGCGCTGACGAGACGATCATGAGGAAAGCAACGCTGAAGAGCTGACAGGGGAAGAGGAGCCCAAGGGAGACTGAACAGATGGCCAAGCAGTTAGCCTCCCAAGATGACCACGGCAAGCCCCGCTGGTGGCTGCAGTGAACTTAAAGCACCAAATCAACCGGTGAGTCAGAAACTAGAGCCCAGTGAGTTTAGTAAGCAAGGGAGTAGAGCCAACTCCTGTTCCCATCACAGCCAAGCCCTCTGAAACTGAGGGAAGTGGGGGAGGAAGAGGCTTATATTTGGAAGAGAAGCAGAATTGAGGAAGGGGTAAAACTTCTTTAGATGATGAAAACTTGTGCATATGCTCGCAAAATTGGGCTGGAAGAAAGGCCAAGATTTAAGCTGTAAGTGGGAGCACCGGGGGGCTGGAATCCAGAATACAGGCGGGAAAGGACCCACTGTGATGGGTGGCAGTGAAGAAACAATGGCCTCTGCTTGCTTCTGCGAAGTAGCAGGAGGCCTGTTTGCTGGGGTGGGTGGTGTGTGTGTGGGCTGGGGAAATGGAGAGAGCTGGAAACTGTCTGTGAGGAATGGGAGAGCGGGACCACATTTCCTAAATTCTGTCATAACCTCTAAAACTAATATCCCAGAAGATGGTTTCATTCTATTTGAAAGTGACACTTGAAAAATCACTGGATTTAAATAAAATTAAATGGTTCCTTTAATATAGGATTTTTCAAGAGTCTTTGGTATTTCGTATACTCCATCTTCAAAACAAAAAAAACAGGATATATTATTTGCCAAATCTATTTGACCCTGGAAACTTTTTCCTCAATTTTTTTTGCTTAGTACCCATTAACATCTCAGGATACTAGGATTCTGTGACATCCAAACTGAGAACACTGAATTCTACTGGGAGCAGAAATGAAGTTCAGACTAAAATGGACTGGACCAGGCTACTGCATGGGTTATACAAAGAAGTTACCCCCCAAAATTAGGAAGATTAAAGTAACAAAGACAGACAACTGCATCTGTGCTCGTGAAGAGCCCATTGCATGTGCCCGTGGTGCTGCAGCGTGGAAGGTGGCTGACACTGAGTGCTCCCCACGGTGGGGACCCTATGTGTATCACTTTGTTTCAGCTCAGAGCCACCCTGGAAGTAGACGCTGCAGTGATGTGCTCGCATGGCCAGAGACTCAACCCCAGGCCGCAGGTGCGCCGCACTGCTGGGAGGGAGCAGACCCCGGGGGCTCAGGGAGTCTCGAGCCTGTCCCAAGTCGCTCGTGCCGCTTAGATGACAGTATTAAGAAAAATGCAATGATTCTGCCGTCGCGACAGCTCACATGGCAGAACCAACCGCCACAGAATGATCACTTGCTTTCAAGTCCCAATTCTGACAATCTGAATGCCAATAAAAAAGGCTGGAGACCAAGAAAAATATAGGTCAAAGCCATTAAAATCACATTTTAAAAGAAAGCTTATTTTTAAATACGGGACTCAAATGAAAAATCGAGTTCCTTTTTTTCCGCATTTTTGAGGCTTCTCTGACAAAACAGCCCATCCTCAACTATCTTAGCCCTGGCTTTCAACTCTTGTTTTATATTTTGAACTGCAGCCTATGTTGAGGAACTTGTTCTTTTATGGTAGATATTTCCTAGGAGTTAAAAATAAATTCAAATCAAGCTTGCTATCTAAAAATCTTACCATCTGATTAAAAACAATGTAATTTCATAGATATAAAAATATAAGAAACAGCACTAGTTAAGATCAAGAAGAGCTGAAAAGCAGCAGCAGCCTTCCATCCCACAACCGTCTCTTCAGGAGACCTCGATCAGTGTGAACAATAACAGACACCTCATGTAAAACTTTACTCCCCTCAAAAGAAGTGAGGGTTAAACATTTTCTCAACGAACAGTTATCTTTTACAGAGTGGCATCTGACAGCTATGAAGAAGATACAGCAGAAAAGCCTAGAAGGCAGACAGCCTCGGCTCTAGTCCTCGTCCCTGCTACCAACTAGCTTATGTCCTCGGACAAATCACCCAGCCTCTCTGGGCCTCAGGATCTTATCTGTAGAGCAAAGGCTAGAACGAGATAATCTGAAGTCTCTTCTGGCTTAACATCCTAGGACTGAGTAACCTGGGGCTAAGACTTAACAAGTTTTCTAAGTAAAGCCTGCAACACTCAAATTAGTCTTTTAGCACGAAGAACAGAAGAAGCCAAAGATATCTACTTTTAAGGCATTAGGTATTTATTGCCAAATTGGCCTTCAATAATAATATACCAATTTATGTTCTCAACATAAAGTATACAAAGGAAGTTTCTGAGAAAAGAAAAAACTAAGCCAAAACAACTGCCACACCATCATTTTGGCAAAACTGAAGGGAAGAGGAGTCAAAAGAGTGTAATCTGACCGGCTGTAGAAACTGGGAGAAGGTCAGTTGTAAAGAGCAGTAGCGTTATTAGATCTAAAACAGTCTAGCATATGAAGTCATCCCATGACCCACCCTGACTCTGTCCCGTGACCTCTGGAGCAAAGTAACATTAGTTATACTTAGTTTTAATACAGAAGCAGTCTCCAAGTACCACTCACCTCTCTAGCTGCCAAAACAATTGTAGTTAGTTGAGAGCGATCACCCCATTCTGCTAAGAATGTTAATGTAAGAGCTTGAACAAAGATGGGTGAAATAAAATGCAGCCACTTTTTCTGAGGTATTGTTGTGCTTGTACCCGTTTCAACATCTCCTGGTCCATTTAAGAGTTTGGTTCGTTGAAACTAAATTAAAAAAAAAAAAGACATTAATTCTAGGAACCAAGTCAATAGAGCACAAAATTACTTAATCTTTCTTTTAAACAGTGTTTAAATTCCATGGGAATCTGCTCTGAGAAACTAAAGTTATGTGACCCCAAACTTCTCTTTTGAACCACTGGTCTCACACAGCAACAAATGCTGTATTCTCAATTTTTCCATTTCTTCCCAATGAAATAAACAATATTAACTGATCACTCATTATCCTAGATGCTGTGGAAGGAAACAGGTAAAATTATAAACTCCAGTTCCTGTTTTTCAGGAGCTTATAGTCAGTCTAATAAAGGAACTTGATTACAGGTGTTCAGTATTCATCCCCGAGTCCTTTCTCTACCCCATTCACACTAACCCAGTCCTATCACAGCCAGATGTAAGAACGGAAACTAAACAAAATAAGCTATTTCTGTGTAGCCCGCACACATCACAGATATGGACGACTATTGGAAAACCTCTGGATAGTGTTTACTCTGAATAGTCGAGGGCCTTTTTGGTCCAGATGTTTAACAGTGCTTTGACTCACTTCTTCATCTTTTTTCTTTAATTCTGCTTGAACTTCTTCTAGTTCCTCTTGACCTTCATCTGGACTCATCTTTAAGCCTTCCCGAAGCATTCTAACGCCAAAAATGGCAAATAATGCAGTTGAGACATAGTATGTATACACCCTGGGGATGACTGTGGTGGCATAGCCAAACAAAACTGCAAGAAAGTGCAACAGTGTATTGGTTAATTAGCACATTATACACCAACCAAAGAAACAGTTAACTTCAGAAGTCATCATTTACCACTGTTTTAAAGGGAAAATGGTTCACATTAGAAGCTCAGCTATTACATAATAACCTTAAACTCCACTTCTTTTCCTCCACCAATATCGAACCCTTAGCTCTAGCCAATGACTCATCACAGCTTAGCAAGAAATCAGTGGTGCAGGCTGAGGTGGCAGGGCTTGCACACGTATCTCTCATGAGATGATCATCTCCTCTTCAGACAGCCGCCAGGGGCTGGCTCGCCACAGGTCGTGCAGGGCACAGAACTTTAGTTAGGAGGTTAACTTTGATGCCCTCTACGGATCCCATGATCTAATAACCTGGAAGCTATGCCACTGCCCTATGTGATATTTCTTCATCACAAGTCTTTAAATTACAAACTTCTGCAGTGAAGAATCACGACAAGATACTCATGTGGCATTATTCAAACTCTGCTTCTTTGCAACTATTTAAAAATAAGAATATCTTATGAAAGAAAACTAATAATTCCATATCTATACATATACACATACATATATATCCATACAAACTCACATATATGTAACATAACAGACAAACTTACTCAGTACTATGCTTTCCTATCATCAAGTACAGAGGGACAATTGTATAAATTGTACAAAAAGACTATACTTGGAACTATCAATATATCAAGAACCTAAATCCTAACTGTGAAACACATTCACATTGGTAATATGAAGTTAGTAATTAAAAACTACGGAAGGGCCAGAGGGTAATTGCGTATATATAACAAACGCAATTACTCTTTACTTCACCAGCTCTTTTTATAAAATGGGCACAACACTTACAAAACTGCCTGAACATCAAAAATATAACTGCATAGATAAAGCATTCCTTGCTTCATTATATTACAAAATGAAAAAGACTTTAAAATCATGTTTAGAAATGTAAACCTATGCTTATGTGCATATCTATATCCAAGTTACATAGGTACGTGTGTATATGTACCCGCACACACACACATAATACAGACATATATTTTCTAGTTCCGTCCACTGAAAAGGCCAAGAAGCCAAGACATCTCAATGACAATGAGCCAACTCTGCACCCAGATCTTGATTTCTAATACATTCCCCACTAAAAGGCTCCTCAGAGAAATGGCTAATTCCAGGACTGGGCAGAGCAGGTACAAGATGAGCCTGCACTATCCTGTTACACGAGAAAGTAAGGAAGAACAAAAACACGTAATAGCATGTCACAAGGACACAGCAGTCAGGCTGGAGGGGCTCCTAGCCGTCACATCTGGGACAATTTAAGGAACAATATAGTTAAGTAGTTAATTATGAACCACTGAAAAAAAGGAGTTCATGAATTTATATTGATAATAAACAGACAAACTAATGGGAGGTGGGGTGAGCTCTTTATCTTAGAGTAGCATGCCAGGGCCCACTGGTAAACGTGGACGGGGTATCGGAATTAGCCATCATTTTGCAAGCGTCGAGGTGAAGTTCAGATCATGTAAGAGTCATCAACTGATGCTAAACTATGGGGAACAGGGCATTTGTATTGTCTTAAAGTGTCTCCCTAAAGATTACATATTAATTGCAAGGGAAGAAGAAAAACAGTATACAAAGAGAAATCCTTACAGGGTGATCAAAATTAACATCTCAGTGAGGGACAAATGGACATCATGTGCTACCAGATGTGATACTCTTTTAAGAGGGACATGCATCACCTATACAGTGTTCTAGTCAAGAATGCATAACCTCAATCTAGTCATGAGGAAACATCACACAAACACAAAATGAGGAACAGCCCGTTAAAGGGGAGGGGGATGTATCTTAGAAAAATATTATAGAATACATAAGAAAAGACTACAGAAATATTTCAGATTAAAAGACTGAAAAGAACTTAATGTACCACCTGACCTAGACTAGATTCTCTACAAGAAGGAAAAAAAGTGCTAGAGAGAATATTTTAGATCAACTGACAAAATTAAAATATGGATGATAGAGTAATGTATCAATGTCTATAAAGATATGTGTCTATGTACTTTATTTCTCTATAGATATATAAACTGTGTGTATGTGTACATATATTATATACCTAGAGATATATAAATTATGTGTGTATACACGTAATTTTATTCAGATATAAAGGGATAGGTCACACATGCTAAAGCAAATGTGGTAAAATGTTAACAACAGGTGAATCTGGATAAAAAGGTATATAGGTGTTCTTATACTATTTTATTTTTGAAACTTTGTAAATTTAAAATATTTTCCATAAAAGGTTTTGCAAATTTTAAAAAGCGATGTAGCAAACCTTTTAAAATCTCCTAAATTTGGCTTTCCTTTTACCTTCAGATAATCTAAAAGAGCTACTTACTGACACAATCCCATGTTTTCTGCCTTGACATCGCCATAGAGAGAAAAAACCAATCTGGCACTATAACCTTGTTCTTCTGCCCCTGGTTGCTGTCCCTCAATTTCCTCATTTTTTGGAAGTCTTTCCTCAGACACTTGAGTACTCTGGTTCTGTGAACAAGGAGAGGTTACTTCTCTTTAAGCAAGTGATTTGCATCAAGTCAGAAATCACTGATTTACAAGTAATTAAACTGAAAACACTTGGCACAAGAACATTAGTGTGAGGGGAAAAAATGGCCCAAGGATAAAACTGTGGGGAATATCAATATTTATGGTACAGTTTGTTTTTTTTTTCTCAGAGGGATAAGACTATAACTCAAAGCAGGGAGCATCTTAGAAGCCAAGAGAATAAAAGGATGAGAATGCCCATGAATGTGGCCTGAGGGGCTCATTAAAATGAAAATTGAACTCTGTAATAAAGAAAGCTGATTACTGAAGCCTTTAAAACACAGACTTTCCGGGGGACACGGATGAACAGTTTGTGAAAGAATCTATTTGCAGAAGTTCAACTTCCATGGGTGCTTTTCCCTAAAACTCATCTGCCTGAAAACATGATTGTAGCTGAGGAGTTGTGCGGGTTCTCCTTTCTCACGTCCCTTCTTCACAGCTGCCCTCTGTTCACTCTACAAAGATGCCTTTCACCCAGCACCTATGGTGCGTTTCCCACAGTATGGAAAGATATCCTAGGGCACCAAAGAGAGGGTCTGAACTACTGGTATCCCCAGTCAAGGCATCATAAACCAGAGACGGGGCTTTGGGTCTTCCCTGTCTTATACAAGTTTCCTATAAGGCCACAGCATTAGAAATAATGGCATTTTAGGCACCGGAAATAATGGTCATGGACGAGAAATAGGGTATTTGGACCTCAGTAGGAATACTTTTTACTTAGAAATTGTGCTTCCTTCATCCTCCAACCAGGGGGATGCTTTTCCCTAAGGCAGAGTCTTGATACAGCAAAGAGAGCATCAGAAAAGATACTAAATCCCAGTGGCTTATTTCCCCAGGCAGCTCACACCAAGCTGGGTTCCAGGCCCAATCTGGCCAGCCAACCATTTTAGAATTAGAATTCTAAACAGCTGGTTGCCATGGTGATGTATATCATGTTTATTAAGTTCAAAAACCAAGTATATGTCTTCTGACAGAAAATAAGCCTGACTTAGATGGTTCACTATGGAGCAACTGCCATGGCAATTAGGCAATGCGGTAGACATTTTCCATAAATTGAATGAGCTAAATCTGTGGCTCCAAGGCTCCAGAAAAATGTATTTTAAACATGTGATCTGATACAATTTTTAAGATGAAATCATTTATTGATGAAAGTACACTGAAATTAAAAATATTTCAATTTTCTCAACCATTTCTAAATATATGCAATTAAACAGGGAATTGGGTTGGCCAGAAAGTTTGTTTGGGCTCTTCCCCAAGATGTTACAGAAAAATCCAAATGAACTTTTTGGCCAATCCAATACTTCTAAGTAAAAGACTAAACATGTATAAGAACAGTCATTTGATGAATTTCAGAAAAACACTTTTTGGTATACTCGATGGTTTCCAACTCTCTGCTTCTAACAAAATTGACAGAAGACCTTATTGTCAGTTGGTAAATCATTTAAAATCTCCTGATGATAGACCAGTATGTGATTTTAAGCATATATATAACCCAGGAGTTCAATGAACTGAGTGACGTGGCTATAACAAAATTCCTTCCTGTCTACTTATGTGAATAAAATTTTTCAGCTCTTATATCTATTTTTTTTTTAGAAAGACCAGAATTGATTCTAAACCTAGCTTCATTCTAGCAATAATTATCATCCATGGACATATAAACTAATTTTAAAAGAACAGTTCTATCATCTCATTAAGAGATGCATTTCCAACTTTTAAAAAATGTTTACTTAAATTTGTGATATATTTTGCTTTGATCAACTGTATGCTAGTAACTATAACTCAATCGATAAATGTTACCATTTAGAGACTTAACAAAGGAAATTTTCACCATCTTTTAAAGTTCGATTTAAATGCATATTTTTGCTGCAGATAAATGACAGTGTGATCCATAAAAGATTTTCAAGAAAAAAAACTTATCATCATTAGAGTAAAATTCTATGAGGAAAGTAAATGAAAGTAAGAATTAAAGGAGGAAAAAGAACAATGTAAATTTCCAAATGTTAAAGCAGAGTTTACTCATGTTTTTTTAAAGGAATGATGGTGGCAGTGATGGTAAGTATCAAATTGCTAATGGTATTTAGATTCCATTAGATGTATTTTACAAGAACAGGCCAAGTAGGCCTGAGCCCTGGGACAGCTGGTGCAGGCCCACCCTGGCTGAGTCGGGAAGGAAATCAATGTTGACTTACAGCTGCTTCTACTTCCCCGCTGATCGCTCTCCTTCCTCTCAGGCCTTCTTCCAAATCTGCCCTGGGTTTCTCTATAGTCACTCCTCCTAAGGAACAAACTCACAAAAACTGAGAAGTTGCCTCTCTTGACGGCTTTGAATTTTAGTGAGAAATTTTGAAAACAGCCAAAGACAAGAATGCCTGATGGAGGCTGTTCAGACATTGAGCTCTCTTCAGGGTGGGATGGGGCAGGAGGAGACGCCTCTCACAGCCTCCGCACTACTGGCTGCCCATGCCCCTTCCACCACGCATGCCTGGCCACAGACCCAACACTTTTCTAGGCACACAGGTGGTTCTAAACAAGGACTTGTTGAATTAATTGGCCATTTTTGTAAATAATGTGAAAATATCCAAATAAATGATTCAGTTGTGCCCTGGGCACAGGTGAACCATACCTAGATGCAAAGCCTCTTTATGATAAGGGGGAAGAGAACTAACTGTTACAGAACTAACCATCCTATACAAGATGGTTTGCTTGTTTTACTTCATTTAATCTTTCTTACAATTCTGTAAGGATTGTTCCTATCAGTATCCTGAGTTTACAGCAGACAAAGATTCTCCAGGAGCTTAAATAACTTAGAAAGTCATAATGGAGTAAAAATATAGTTATTTCCCAATGACTTTTAAGCTTCAAACCTTTTCCCAATAAAATTTTTATTAGCAAACAGATGACAGTAAATTGTTCTCGGAGGAAGGATTGGGGGCCCATAGCCACCCTGACTGTGCAGCCTCCAGCCCTCATCCACCTCCCCCTGCAGAACCTCTTACCCTGAAGAAAACCATCAGAAACCCCTGGATTCAGACAGACACAGCCTTTGAATCCCAGCTCCACTGCCTGTGAGCCATGAGTGCATAATATGTCTCTGCTTTCTGTTTGTCCATCTGCAGCAGGACAAAGGGCTGTCCTGAAGCGGGCCTGAAGCATCATGCACACAGATGGCACTCAGCAAATGGCAGCCGTGTGACCTGCTCCTGTCTGCATGATGAGCAAGCAGTAGAGGCTAGATTCAGCCCCAGGGTCAAGACGTCAGGTCTCGTGCCTTTCCTGCCCCCCACCCCCCAGCAGCTCCACGCTCCTAAATAGAACATAGAAAAAGGGCTCAGGACCCAAAGGCAAGCCAGTTTAGGAGCGAATCTGGAATGCTAACAAGAAAGAAAGAACACTGGCAAACGGAAATTTTGCAAAGGAAAGCACTGGCTCCATGCTTACAGACTGCTGAAATTCCCCCGGAACTGAACTCAGCCATCTAGGGGGAATGGGTACAGTGTGACCAGGCTGATGGGAAAAAAAATGGGGTCAACGGATCTGACCGGGGAAGCAGTGTTTAACCCATCTCGAAAAACTGTGTTTAAAATGTATGATGTCTGAAATTTCTTTTTTAATCAGTTTGCAAATGTAATATAAATTTAAATATTGTGTAACAAATGTTAAAACACTTATAAGACAAACATAAAAAAAAAACGAATACCAACTATAACAATTCTACACAATATACCAAAAATTAGATCTTTGAAACTCCTTGAACTTACGATGAAAAGTGAGAGGGGGTATAGTTTTTCAAAATTATTTTAGAGATATACAAGGAAGAGGTTTGAAGACCACTGATACAGCCCATTCCTTCAAATAGTCCAGGTGAGAGGAGCTGTCAGTACCAGCAGCCAGAGGGAGGTGGGCCAAGGGTCAGGACGAAAGAGACCAGCCCCACTCACTGCTGAGGAAAGGGAATTAAATCCATAGAATAGGGGGGGGAAACGCATGGAGCCAGGTTCTGAGGAGGGAATGGGCGGAGAGAGGACAGCCTTCTACTTTATCCTCAAAGCTGGAAGTTTCAAAACTAAAATTCTCTGATATTATTCAGACTCATTCCAAACAAGTGACTTCACCATTTACAACCTGCTCCACTATTTCCTAGAATCAAAATTTGCTTTTGAAGAGAAAATTTCTGTGTGTGAAATATGAATAATGCTAATATCCAAATGTGAAAAGTAGTCAATTTTTTTATTCAATAAAATACTCATTATAGTAGGTTTAAAAAGACAAACTTTAACAAGCATCCAAGCATCCAGAAATAGAACCTGTCCTGTACTTTAAGAACTGTGTTTCAGGAGAAATCTAAGGCATGCTGAAAGAGAGGAGTGAATGACTGAGCACCTGAAATATAAGATCTCATTTTAATACAAACCGCAACCCTGTGAGGCAGCTAGATACTATCTCCAGTTTACAGATGGGGAACTGAAACTCAAAGAGGTTAAGTAACTTACCATTAAGTTAATACACAGCAAAATGAGACTCCAATCCAAGTCCGGCTCTAAGGGGAAAACTCGCTATTTTCCATCCAACTACATGGCTCAAGGTAGCTTTTGAATCAGAGACTAAACTATGTTTAATTATGTAGTGTTAAGTTTACTTTCTCCTGGTCTTAATTCTTTGAAAAATTGAAGCCTATATAATAGTAACTCAAATAGTAATACAAACCGGGAATCTAAGAATGTTTCATTCCCTACTGTTGGGGTAAGAGGTTAAGAATAGCTTAACAGAACACAATACTCTGAACATTACCCCTCACTACTGATTACCAAATGCCCTTCAACAGAAAATACACAATTCTCTGTGGTTGCTTGTGTCCTGTTTCTAAGATATCAGATATAAATTTCTCTGGACTTAAAAAGGAAAAAGAAAAAAAAGCAAGGATAGCCATAGCAAAAGCAAGGATCAAAAAACTAGTGAATAAATGAGGAGCACGTATCTTGACTGTGAATAGCTAAAAATTTAATTTCAGGGCTTCCCTGGTGGCGCAGTCATTGAGAGTCCGCCTGCCGATGCAGGGGACATGGGTTCGTGCCCCGGTCCGGGCAGATCCCACATGCCGCGGAGCGGCTGGGCCCGTGAGCCATGGCCGCTGAGCCTGCGCGTCCGGAGCCTGTGCTCTGCAACGGGAGAGGCCACAGCAGTGAGGGGCCCACGTACCGCGGGGGGGAAAAAAAAATTAATTTCAAAAGCGCAATATCGTTTTTAGGAATTTATGTACTGTAAACATTTTCTGCTTACTAAGTTCTGAAACATGAACCAAATTCCAATATAACTAGTTGAATGATTCAGTGACTTAATACCACCATGCTTTCTCTTTAATTCAATAAACTCATTAGGAGGAAAAAGCACTCACCTGATAAGCACGTCATTAGGCCCAAGGCAAGCATAGCACCAGCCAACACTGTCAAACGATTATAGCGCATTGCCATGATGGCTGCTATAAAAAATGTCTTATCACCCAGTTCAGATACAATGATAACTGATATGGCAGCCACAAATGCATGGATAAATCCCAAATTAGTTTGGGTAGCTGGATCTTCTTTATTGGTATGAACTGGAGCAGCTGGTGTAAATCCTTTCTGAAATTAAAAAAAAAAAAACATTTATCAGCTACTTTTTTGAAAAAAGTCATTATTTTAAATTATTTTATTTTGTATGTGAATTATGATTGTTTTTCTGTCATGGTCATTAGACTTATTTACTGTCTAATCACTTTGAAAGCCATTAGCAATGACAGAAACCTCTGATTGATGTCTGCTACAATGGAAATCCAAGTACAAGTCTACAAAACAATTTAAAAAAAAAAAGAGTAGAGACCAGCTATATCCACACATCAAAATTACCTTGTTTTCTAAGTGTGAGTTGAGATTTAGTTCTTAGCTATGTCTCATTCAAATTTTTATTCATAACTTGTAAGACCCAAGGTATGCTTATCAAACATTTAACAGGAAACTGAGAGAAATTTCATGAACACTTAACGAGAACAAAGTAGGATCCGGAAAGCTCTCAACAGGCTAGAAGAAGAGTTGGCTCTAGCTAAGATGAGATCTAATATAGCTGGATATATGGTTGGTCCTACACTAAAAATATCCTAGGCTGAAAGGTGGCCTAATAAAAAAGATAAGCCAGAGTCTCAGCTGGTGTTAAGGTCATTCTGAGTTGAAAATGTGACAAAGCTCCAAAAAGGCAGCAAGCACTTTAAGCACTTTAAAGAGTTAGTGACAAGCCCATCTTCTGTGCTGCACAGCCCTTACCCAAAGTCCTGTATTGGCTCTGAGGCACCACATTTTAAGAAGGCACTGCCCTCTGAAGATTACTGCAGACAAAAGAGACTCTAAAGCCAGGGACTGGCAAGCAACAGCTAAGAGTAAATCCAGCTGAGAATGATTTTTACGTTTTTTAAGGGTTTGCAAAAAAAAGAAAAAGAAAAAGAAAGAGGGAGGGAGGGAGGGAGGGAGGGAGGGAAAGGGATGGAGGGAAGTAGGAAAAGAAAATTATGCAACAGAGACCTTAAGTAGCCTGCAAACACGTGGCCCAAACCTAAAATATTTATAATCTGGCCCATGACAAAAGAAAGTTTGCCAACTCAGTCTCTAAAACAATCACATAAGGGACCAGGAAGGACTGGGTGCCTATGTTCCAATAATTGAGAAAGTCTGATGAAAGTCTATATGGTCCCAAGAGATAGAACTAAAAAGTTATAGGTGGCATGGCAGGTTGTAGCTTAATACACAGAAAAGATTTCTACTCCACAGGAGCCCCCAGAGGCTGAAATGGACTTCTAGAGAGGGTAGCAAATTCCCTCCTCAACGTGAGAGTTCCAGAGAAGAGAACCACCGCCTACAGAAAGTGTGCTCATCAGAGGTTCTCAACCAGGGCGATTTTGTCTCCCAGGGGACTTTTGGCAAAGTCCGGAGACATTTTTTTGTCACAGCTGAAGGGAAACTAATGGCATCTAGTGGATGGAGGCGAGAACTGCTGCTACGGACAGGACATAATGCATAGGACAGCTCCTCACAACAAAACATTATCTAATCCAAAATATCAATAGTTCCTAGGGGGAGAGACCCTGGACTAAAGGAATCACTTCTAAAGGTCTCTTCCAATCCTAACTGCCTATCTTTAATTAATTTTTAAAGCCTATGAGTCTCTAGAAACCTGAGGGATAAAAAGGAAAAAGAAACCCAAGAATGTACGTGATTTTTGACAGAGTAAAGAAAGAAGTACTTTTATTCACAAAGGCTCCAGTCAGAGATAAGAATAAAATCCTACATTTTCAGTGTGCATGTCATTCCTTAACACATGACACAAACTTGACTCCCAAATTCCACTGTAAAGATCAGAAAACTTTAAGCATTACTCAGACTAGACCTCTGAGTTAAAAACTGGGGAAATTTAAAAATTTAGAAAATACTTGGTGTGAGGGCTAAATCAAAAGGGCAGCCTCAGAAGCTAGCTCTTGATTAAGCAAGTACCATTTTAAGGGATTCTAGCTTTCTCTCCATTATCATTTGAATTCCAACTATGCTGATCTTCTTGTCTCTTCCAATACCCTATGAGCATTAAGCATCATAAAAAATATAAGCATTTTCATTCACCTTTCACTAATGCAACATTTTCCTCTTGGAAATACCTTTTGAATGAAAAAATTTCATTGCAAAATATTTAGGACCTGAAATCCAAGAAAATTTTTTAGGAATAAATATCCCTAAAACATTTATTTACAACCAATTAGCTGCAAGCTCAAACAGAAAATGTTTACTTTTAAAAACAAACAATAATGATCAAAACCACAAATTCTCATCATTTTATAATTCGCAGCCATAAAACCGTGGCCACATAGCCTCTCTGTTCCTCTGTGAAATGATGAGAATAAAACTTGCCTTGCAAGCACAAAGCAAAACAAAACTACATATTCTTAAAACCTTTCTATATACAAAGCACAAGAAAAATTAACTTACAGTTTTTGTTATATATTGAGCTGGTCCTGGATAGCCAAAATCAGTGTTAAACAGCCACCAACCATGGTGTGATAAGAATTTAAAACAAAAGTACCAGGGTATTATGAAGATAGAAGATTTTAAAAACTTGAAGTGTTAATAAATAGGGGCAGAAAATGGTCAATTACCATTCATTCATTTGTTGTTGATCAATTGCCCAAGTGATTACTGTGTACAAGGATCATCTCCTTTTTCTAATTCGCCTTCAGAGTGACAGAATGTACCGGTTTAATAGGTGGGCTCTGGAATCAGACTTCCAGGGTTCATAGCCCAGGTATTACTGGTTACTGTATGACCCTGCGCCAGTAAGTTTACCTCCCTGTGACTCAAGTTACATCTTTAAGATGACGGGTACCTATACCTTACAAGGTTGTTGTGAGGATTAAATGAATTACTACACATAAAGCCCCTAGGATGGTGCCTAATACACAGTAAGCACTCAGTTACAGTCAGTTATTACAGCACACCACAACGTTCCCAGTTGAATCTTCCTAAAACTAATTTCATCGTGACCTTCTTATGCCTAGAACATAAAATGCAAATACTTAATTCTGGTAACTATCCAACATGTCCCATCTAATCACATACCAATTCCCAAAGTGAACCTTAGTGAACCTCCCTAATGAAGGATGAGCCAGAGCAGCACTGTCCAACAGAAAATAATGCAAGTCACATAATGTAATTTTAAAATTTCTAAGGGGGGCTTCCCTGGTGGTGCAGTGGTTAAGAATCCGCCTGCCAATGCAGGGGACATGGGTTCGATCCCTGGTCCAGGAAGATCCCACATGCCGCAGAACAGCTAAGCCCTGGCGCCACAACTACTGAGCCTGCACTCTAGAGCCCACGAGCCACAACTACTGAAGCCCAAGCGCCTAGAGCCCATGCTCTGGAACAAGAGAAGCCACCACAATGAGAAGCCCTCACAACGAAGAGTAGCCCCCGTTCGCCGCAACTACAGAAAGCCTGCGCGCAGCAACGAAGACCCAACACAGCCCAAGGTAAATTAATTAATTAATTTCTTTAAAATTTTAAAATAAAATAAAATTTCTAGGGAATTCCCTAGTGGTCCAGTGGAGTTAGGACTCCATGCTTCCACTCCAAGGGGCACGGGTTTGATCCTGATTGGGGAACTGGGATCCCGCAAGCTACGCAGTGCAGCCCGAAACAGTAAAATAAAATAAAATTTCTAGTAGCCAGATATTAAAAAGTAAAAACAGATAAAATTGTTTTTAATATTATTTAATTTAACCCAATATATCCAAAATACTACTCTAGGAATATTTTTCAAATGACTAATGAGATATCAGTATTTAACCCTCTTTTTTTGTTCTTACCAAATCTTCAAACACCGGTGTGTATCTCCTCACTGCACACATCTCATGCACATCTCAGTTTGGACCTGCCACATCTTTTCAATTGCTTAAAAACTGCCACATGGCTCATGGCTGTAGTACTGGGCAGTGTGGCTCAAGAACACTTTAAGTTTTGGGGTAACACAAGCCTTCAGTCACGCAGTCCTGCTTCCCTTCCTACCTTCCTATCATTATGCCCCTATTCATCCACATTCCTCAAGACCCAACTTATGTAGAGCCTCTTGAGCAAGCTGTACCTTAACAACTCCAGCCCCTTAAGGATCCCACTTCCCTCAAACTGCAGGCATACTGTGGGCAATGAATCATGGCAAGTATATGACTGGAACAAAGTCTGAGGTAGGAACACTCAGGGAGTTTACCATTTTGTCTTAGAAACGTGTATAAATGTAATGTTATCATTTGTAATAATTAAGAGACAAAAATAACTAAATGTCCATCCATAAGGAACTGGTTAAATAAATGGTAGCTCCATATACTGGAATATTATGGGGCTAAAAATAAGAACGTTTTATATACACTAATAAGAAAAATCACTAAGACATTTTTAAGTTGAAAAAAGTACATCTTATGTACATAGTTATTGTATGTATGTTATGGGGCGGTGAGTTAGGTAGGTATATAAAGTATATACACAGTTGCTAATGAACCGGAAATCTCAGGACACAGTAACAGTGGCCAGGGAAGGAACCAGGATGACTAGAACAGGTGTTGGCAAACTTTTACTTAAAGGGCCAAATATTTAACCTGACGGACCGTAAAGTTTCTTTGGTAATTACCCAACTCTGAAGCTACACCCTGAGATCAGCCATAGGTAATACTTAAATGGCCTGGCTCTATTCCAACAAAACTTTATTTACAAAAACAGGCAGTCAGTGGTAAACTACAGTTAGCTAGAATACAAGAGGAGGTGACACACTTCTCATTCTACATTTTTCTATATCTTTTGGATTTTTCACCATGCACATGATTAAAGACACCTATTGTGCACCACTTCAAAAATCTCTTGACCCAATCTCTTACTCCAGCTATGGAGGACCAATTCCTTGCAGGCTGTAACTAGCTTTAGGCAGATCCAACCAGAAAGTAAGTGTGGTGCACATACTTACTCACTACACTACCCAGAAGTATACAGGAGTTAACCCCTGTGGGGTAACCTTTGACCAATGCAGAGGAATCGATTCTGAGGTTCATTACATTAGGCTCCCA